GCTGAATTACATAATCACAGTTTATCAATATACAGTAGCATCATTCCACAGCAAAAAAGTGTTCAAATGTCTCTGCACCTCTGCTGAGTTTAAACAAATGTGCATGGAAACAGTCTGGCATGTTCCTGAATACTAAAATGTTTCTCTAGTGTATAAAATCATTTCACGAGTCAGAAGGCGGTGTGAGTAAGGGTCTGATCCGCTGAACTTTGCTCCCACTCTCTGTGTCTCTGTTTTGTTTGCAGGCTGGTGAACCATATGATTACTGTACCGATACAGAAGTGGTCACACTAGAAAATCAGCGTCCTCTATCCTCTGATAGAGGATTACAGACTTTATATCATCCGCCATCAACATCTCTTCTTTTACTCATAAACACATATACACAACGAGGCTCCTCTGCTTCACCTCCCCCATGTTGTTGAAAGATTACAAAGTTCATAAACCATCAAAGGTTGTGGTTTCTGTTCTGTTTTGTTTACTTTCTTGCGGCAGCTCTTTCTCTTTATTTTTTCCCTCCTAATTATAATCAGGTCTGCTGCCTGCCTGCAATGACACACAAGTGGGATGAAAGAAAAAGGATGAACAAAATGAGAACTTCTTTATTTATTTACTCTTGGCACACAGAGTTTGACAGGAGATGAAATAGAAGAGGTTCTTTTTTTTGAACGTAGCTCAAAATTTCCATACAAAGTAGCAGTAACAGAATAGTAATGCTAATCTGGGGGATTTGAGAAAAGAATAGAAAAACTGTCGATGGCTCCAGTAATATGAATATTAAGGGTGACTGTTGAAGTTCCTCTGCACCTCTTGCATTTATTAGTAGCACGGCAGGGATTTCCCATCTAAGTGTCATTTTTTTCTCAGGATTTTCATTTAAGGCAAATTCGTTGTTACTTCACATTTAATCTTTGTTCTTGTTCCAAGTGGAAGTCTCACACTCACTAGACTGTGTTTTTAATCCTTATCAACTTGTGAAAAATATGTTTTCAGAGTGAATGCTCACAAATACCTGAATTAGTTTACTGTGTTTTTTAGAAGCTTTTTCTTTTTACAGAAAAAAGTCACAAAACTGCACAAAAAGTGAGACTAGTCACTATTAAATAAATGCAATATGCAATGAAAGAAACAGAGGCGGGAATAGAATTTGCAATTTGAAAATGTGAAAACTGAAAGTGTCATGGTTTTTTCACTTTTTGGTCATGTTTAAGTTTTCTTTTTGCATTTTCATTGGTTTCATTTCAATTATGTGTTGTTTTCTGGTTGTATTTTAAATTTTTATGTATTTCTTGTTTACCTTCTTCCCTAGCTCCCTTCTAGATTCTTCTGTCCACACCTGCTCCCAATCAGTTGATCACCCCAGCCTCTGTTCTGTTTGGCATATATAGCTACTCCTCTTGTGCAGTTTCTCAGTGCTGGTTCCTCGTTGTTGTTTTTTTGCTTCTCATGTGTGTTTTCCTTGGCGTTTTTGGTTTTCTGTATTTTGTTATTTATGCTTCAGTTGCCTCCTTTTGGTTATTAAATCTGCAGAAAACACCTTCAGCTTCCGTCTCTACGTTTGAGTACCGGTACTCTAGAAACCCCCATACAACCTGACATAAAGAGACTAAAAACAAAATCCATTTAAGTGATTTTAGGTCCCAGTGATGAGTCTAAAATGGACAGAGCCGAGGCTGACTGGTTTAACACTGCATGGTTGATGAATATGTTTGACCCAGAATGAACTGTAGTAGTTTTTCCGTAGAGCTTGGAGATAAAGGGCACTGCATCTAAATCCACCTAAAAAGGGGGTAGGGATCGTAGGGTTTGTGCTAGTGATACCATATTGTGTCCTCGGCAGCTCTATTAGCAGCATCTCGTGAAAAGAGAAAAATCTATTGGTTTAAATTCTTGCAGACATGTGAGACATTTAGGTGAAAGCAGAATTCTCGTGGAGAAGAACTCATCTGTATTCCAAAGTTTTACTGGGCCATAATAATGATGCCACTGCCAAAGAGAGGTGTCCTCTTTTCTCTGCAGGTTTTTTTGCTGCCAAACTGCAATGTTTGTTTCAAGTTACAATTGTAAAAACATTAAAGTTAGAGACAGCATGGGGTGATAAGCTTAATGAATAATGTTAATGAGTATCACACTGGTTGGGAACAAATCATTTTGCCTGTGCAAATAAAGATAAGGGAAACAAACTAAAGAATAAACAACAAAACACTGTCCTACAAAAATATTAAAGTCAGAGAAGAATAGGGCATATCATGCATTTTACATGCAAGGCTTTAGGCCACATGATGAAAGTACTTTATGAACCTTGACATCCAGTAAATTATGAGCAAGTTATTGTGATAGGTCAGATGATATAAGGTGAGGTTTCTTGTTTGCTTTTTGCAGAGCCCTCCCACACACACGCACACACACACACACACACACAGGCTGAGCTGTCTGATTTACCACAGCTGATCTACAGCTTGTATGAAGGCTGACAGGCTGCAGTGCAGCAGATTTGTGTGGATTGCAAAGGGAGCATGATATGCAGGAGCCTTCAAGGCAGCAGTAGTCATTATTTCAGATATTAATTATTTATACATCAAAATTTAAAAGTGGCTACTGCAATTTGATGAGAAGGTCCAGTGGGCTTTTGGCTTATTTTGCATACAAAGCACCAGACTAATCTACTGAACTCATAAACTATAAATCTTTATGCATCTCATATTTTGAAAATGCAGAGGTACAATCTGTTTTGCAAGGTTAAAGGCATTGCATGAATTGCAACAAATTGGACTTTAAGGATCTGTGGCTGTAACATTTGACTTGGAAGCTCGCTCCACAAATATGAGGCCACATCTTTGTAAAACTGATGATAAATTGATTCAATTCCTGCAAATTACATTGCAGACTGCCTCAGTACTTTGTCTGTTCAGTTTGTTTTGGCGGCCCTTTGTGGCTAATGGAGCAGCTTTGAGGTAAATAAGAGATCATTTTGGGGAATTAAATTCCATCAAGCAGCCCTGTGATTTTTGTTTTGACCAGCAGCACAACATACGCAAAAACAATACTTCTACCTAATTCTACTGCTGCTGTTTTCTTTTGTCTTTTTTTAGAGCAAGGCTGTAAAGTTTGTGCTGGAAAAAATATCACAATTCCTTTTCAATAGAAATTATCCTTTATTTACTCTGTTAGAATTGGTTAAATTACAACAAGTAAAATTTCTACCTAACGATTTAGTAGCATTTAAAATCACAGTTCTTTCAACCACTGACTATAATAAAACCAACATAAGAATATCAGCTTACCATTATTATTGTATTACGCTATACTCCTTGACTGAGGCAGCTGTTGCAGATAAACATCTTCACCATCGTTGCCAATGATAATATTTCTGTGCTACCTTGGTAGAAAATTATACTTTTATCTACAGTATGTTCTATAATTTCATTCTAAGCCAGTTCTCATTGTTGCTTCTTTTTGATATGGAGGATGAATCAGATGACTTTATCATAGTCAGTGAAAGTGGTTAAAGCAGCAGTGGCTCATCTTGCACGAATGGCACAGAGAGTGAAGCCCCACATTTGTTTCCCTAAACTAGTCAAAATGCAGACAATTCCTAGTAAGGTAATTAAATACAACACAGTGAAATATTGAAGAAGCACAAAAAAGTCCACCTATCCTCATGGAAGCAGAGGGCATCAACTCTGCAGAGAATATGTATGCAATAAAGCATTAAGACTTTTTCAATGATAAACTGACTGGTAAATTATGTCTTATTCCATCTAGTGCTTGTATTACCACATTGCTGATGCTGCCCTGGGAAACCACCCACATGTCACATATTAACAATCACCACTATCTAGCCGTCCCACCCCTAATGGAATGGGTTGGGGGTCAGATGCTACGATTAGGAATGATTTAAACACAAGGGTGTGAGTAAAAAAAATGTGAATCAGAAAAGTTAAAAATGGGAGACCTAATGTTAGCATCATTCCTCTCAATTGCAAATATGCTTCTGTTTATCTAAGAAGTCTGCATTAGATTTTACTTTATCTAGTTCAAAATGCAGTATAGTAAAAACAAAAGGTCATGTTAAAACCAAATCATCACTGATAGGAAACAAAGTGTTTAACCCAAAATTAATAATTGTTTAAACCGGTATTCTAATTATAAATAAGGGGGAAAAAAAAGGAGAAACAAAAAACACTGAATAAAGCAACCAAACACAGACAAACACATTTTCTAGGAAAAGCTGAAAAGGATAAAAACATACATAAATCAAACTTGGGCTGAATTGTAGTAACTCCTAATTATGGTTTGTAAATTTGAAAATCGCAGTGAGAAAACTGATATTCAACATTTCTATAAAATGTGATTGAATCCATTTTTTTTCAGGTCATTCATTAATTATTTAGTACAGATTATATTGAAAAATATAAAATTTTACATGATAATTATTTTTTTTTCTTTTAAAAATCTGATAAAAAAAAAAACAACTATTTGATCTTGGTGACCTTTTAGAAAAGTTTGGATTTTCTAAGAGGATGAAGAGAAGAGGTAAAGCTTACTTAAAAAATAAATAAATAAGAGAAGATTGAATAAATGACAAATATTGTAACAACACAGATCCACGTGTTCAAATTACCAAGTCAGATTTCAGGCATACTTTCTATAGAAATCTGTGACCAGATTAAAATTTTTATGTCCAGAAATGTCTCCCCTTCTGACTCGGGGGGTGCAATAGATATGTCAATAAATGTTCATAGCCAGGAAAGACTGCCATAGTACCTTCAAAGGTTAAATACCAGTTTTCCTCGTGAAAATATCACAGATGATGTAGTTTCTACCCACTTCTACCAAATGGATGTCTACGGGATGTTAACGCATATTTGACATCGGTGATGTTTTCGGTAACGCCAACACTCTCAATTAACCCTAATTAGCTCTTAATCAGTTCCATTCCAGCCGCTGCGTAATTCTGCTTCAGGTTTTGGCACAAACAGCCTCCAGGAGACTGTGGGATGACAGCAGCGCGCTAGATGCTGCTCTGAGAGGAACGCAGCGGTCCTCCCATCAGTTCCATGGAACAGGAACCGTTTTGTTTTAAAAACCAGTCGATGAATGAGACTTCGCCGTGCGCAACCTCTTCACGCAGCGGAGAAGGCAAAGTGTTTGTCCCCCAAAAAGAGAACCGAGGTGGAAACCACGCAGCAGAGACAGAGCAGCGGCGGCGCTCAGCGGGGAAATAAATAAACCAACTATTGTGGGCACAGCATGGACATGATCCGGGGGAGCAGCGACTGAAGAGGCTGATGTGATTTCCAGACGGATGTGTTGTGCTTTATTTTTTCACCCCACTGCGTCCTGATTAGTTTCTAGATCTCAGACTTGGTATATTGCAGCAGATACTGACCATGTGTCGTTGCGCCACATAGACGCTCTTTGTGGAGCGCTCTGCACCGGGAGGGACAGGTGGTGCATGTGTGAATGCTGAGATCAGTAAAGCAGGGTAGGGACGCACCAACCCCCTGAGACAGTTGTTTTATTGATGTGGGGAACAGTTTTTCCCCCCCTTTTTTTTCCAAAGACAGGTGCGACAGGAAGGGACAGTTTCCAAAAAGCCCAACACGGGATCTGATAACGCACTAGATAGCGCTCGGATATTTGGTACCAAGTGGGACACAGGCAATTGAGTAACACTATTGTTGCTCCTGCAGCGCTTTTTCTCTCCTGGTGATCAGAGGTAAGTGAACCGAGGGGTCCGGTTAAGGGCTGTGCTGCTGCTGCTGGTGCGCTGATTTTACTCTCTCTAGCCTTAATGTTTTGGACGCATTGATTAGTGGAGGGAATCTAGTTATCCTGCTGCTGGTGCGCTGATTTTACTCTCTCTAGCCTTAATGTTTTGGACGCATTGATTAGTGGAGGGAATCTAGTTATCCCAATTGAACCAACTCAGCCTACAGTCAGTTGTGGCTGTAATCTGTGGTATCTGCGCGTCTAATTTCATACTGCGTAGTTTGCAGCCGCACTGAAAACCAGATTTGAGCTGTCAGAAGCCATACGTCCACTTATTTTAGATATAACCTGGTGGATAATCTCTTGTTGTTTTCTGTCAATTAAAACTACCCAACTGTTGTTTTTTTTAAAGAAATATTTAAATCTAATAAATCTGTACTTAATTTAAATGTGATATTTGGAAATTTTGTTTTAGAATTGCTTTTGGTTTTTAATCTGCTGTCTATGTTTCACTCCAACCTCCAGTGTTGAGCATCAGAATGCTCTACCATGTTCCTCATCCTTATCTGCATGCCTCTTGCCTTTACAGTACAGAGTATACAAAAACGCCCAAGCTTCCACAATAGCATGGCTCCAAGTTGCCTCAAGTTTTCCCATTTGGGAGCTGCGCATTTTTTTTCCTGTGGCCCCCCCTGTTTCAAATTCAAATTGCCTTTAGAGGCGCCTTTTGTCCAGTTCTGAGGTTTGTGGAGTGGAAAAAAGAGATAGAGAACTAACTAAAGCCCCTAAGGAATAGGGGTGCTCTTAAAAATGAGCCCCAGGTTGTGTGAGAGGAGAGGAGTGGGGAGTTACAGAGGGAGAGAGGCATCTAAAGAAAGCGAGGCAGTCCAGTGTGAGGAGAGAAGACCAGCAGCTCCTTTAACCTTGCTGTCACTCTTAACAGTATCAATCAACCTTGGTGGAAAAGAGGCTCTTTAATTCCTTTTCCTCTGGGGTGTCGCCTGCTCTGGCAGCCAGAGTTCAGGGAGGCTGCTGGAGGCTGCACACAAATCCTCCCCCCCCCACTGCTTATATCAGACAGTAGCACCATGTATCAAGCTTCAGCTTTTTAATTCTACAGAGGGCGCAGTACCTCACACCTTTGGCATTACTGAGATTTTGTTACTTTACAACTACAAAATTCAATTAGTTTAATATTTAAAAAGCAGAAGAGGGAAGCATAAGATGTAAACCAAAATACTGTGAAATAAGTCTGATCTACAAAATGTGGAGATAGTTTTGATGTAGCAGCTCTTTTTACTTTGATCGACAAAGAAGAACATTAAAAAGCTCAGGAGTAAAGTTGTAAAAAAAAAATAATAAAAAAACATGGGGAAATTACTAAAAAAAAGCTTGCTAATTTTTAATACTCTCAATATTCATTGTTTAATCCATTGTCTGAAAACAGAACCATTATGGCACAACTGTAGAGCATTAAATACATGACCCGTACAGGCGGTAAGAAATTGAGCTTTTATCAGAGAAGCAGCCATGGAAACACTGGAGGAGCTGCTAAGATCCAAACCTCAGGTGGGGGACTATCTGTTATTGGGACAATGATCGGTTTTACACCTCGAATATATATATATATATAGATGAGAAGCAACAAGAACCTGTTGATAGAAAAATTAAATAAAAGAAGTTTACAAAAGTGGATTATGTTGCATAGAAGCAAAACTGTGTGTGAGGTAGAAAACAATGGACATCAATCTGAACAAACCACCTCCAGGGATACCCTTGGTGGAAGAAACATCCTTTGATTATGAAATATAAAGCGATCAAAACAAAAAAACCTAAGAAAACCCCCCCCTAAAGATTGACCACATTATCTCCATGAGGACACCTGTGGGTGGCAGCATCGGGATGCTACTTTTTCAGCAGGGATAGAGAGGCTGGTTAAATTTGAAAAATACAATGCTATAATGGAACAGTGTAAAAAAAGAAAAGAAAAGCATTTTGATGTGTTTTTAGAAGCTTTTTATCCAGACTGACTGAGCTTTTGCTAATTTGTAAAGAAAATGAAGAAAATGTTAGTAGTTGTGTAAATATAGTAGGGACAAGCCTCGAAATCTGTGTATATAAAGTATTGATTTTTTTTACGTTATTTTATTGGTTAGATTCAATTTGTACAGAAGTAATTTATCCTGTCACAGGGTGTTATGTTCGTTTGTCAGATAAACTCCCAATGAAACAGATGATGGAAGGGGGGTAGTAATATGTTATAAAGTTCACTGTACATGTGTGAATTACTGTAGATCTAATGTGCTGACTGGCAGGTGGGATACATATTAAATGAAACCTGATGTATTCATATATTTGCCTAGTCATGTATATGTTTCAGCTTTCTCGGGAGAACACAAACGGAGAGACAAACACATCTTTTTCTGAGATCCACATGGCCAGAAGAAGTCTGTAACGACATATGCTGCCATCAGACGCGATTATTTTTATCTGCTGTTCCTCTGCAGGTATAGGAGAGGGGATAAATGTTGTGCTGGTCCATGTATAAATAACCTCACTGTAGGAAGCAAGACTCCTTCCAAGAGAAATGACTCAGTAGGAGGCGAGACGGTACAGAAATTATTTAGGACAAACATAAGGAGAGCAGTTTGAAAAACTATACCTGATGCTGGAGCTCATGTCCTAGACAATAAGTGTTTAGTCTAAAATCCCCTGTAGAAGCAAACACTGCAATCCCATGTAAAGGCCTAATAGCAGAGGGATTTTGTGTCAGTGAAGAACTCAGATAACAAGGCTAAATTTGTGCCCAGGAAACCAGGCGGTATGGGAGGGTTTAACGTTCCAAGGTCCTGGAGCTGATGTCAGTTTTTGGCGCCTCTTTCTGTATCCCCAACGCTTCGTCTCTCTGCAGCTTAACAAACTGCTCGCTGGAGCTTGGCTAATCCTTGGCTAGAAGTGCCCAGTGATTTATTATAAAGTTAGCTCGTTTAAGGAGATCTGCAACATCGCTTCCTATACACACGGCCCCTGACAGATTCCTGCTGTCTGAACTCTGGAGTCTGATTGGCAATTAGCTTTAAGAAGCCGATGTATGTTCAAGGATCAAAGACACGGGAGAGAACAGCAGGGTGAGAGTTTGTCTGTGTCCATCAGGGGGAAATGTAAGGGTCAGTGTCTATCTAGTTGTGTCTGTTTGCCTTCCTGTATTGTGCGGCCTCTGTATGTGTGCACATGTGTGAGTCAGTCTGTCTGGGCCCTATGCGAGTGTGATTCAGTGCTGCCAGCCTTGGTTGAATGGGTGCCCTGTTCGAGCCCTGCTCCTGACGCGAACAGCCGCTTGGGGCCTCTTGCTTTAGAGCAAGTGTTGCGCCCTTTGTGCAGAAATAACAGGTGCCTTTACACAGTTATTTAATCCTTCATTATTTGCTGAACTGCGTTGGTGGCGGGTTAACTTCACCTGTGGACCCGAGGCAGTAACTGCACAGAGGGACAAGTCATACTATATTTTAGTGTTATACTGATCAGCTCAAGATGTCTCTGAAGTCTGAACCCAGCAGTATATGATATAATACATGTTTATGTTGCTTTTATTCACATTGTTAAAGTAAGAACTTGTAGATGGAAATGTATCCACCATTAAACAAAACAGAATGAAACAGAATTGCATTTCGCTTTTATTGATGAGGTAGTATCCTCGTTTATTTCACCAGAGAGAGGAGCATTATCACTTAGAAACCTTTAAGCAGCAGGATGAGCTGCCTATAAGAAATCATTCCGACTGCTTGGTCAGCACTGTCTCTCCACCAGCCTGTGCCCATTTTAGCCGACTGCTGTGCTAGCAGATTGATAGCAGTAGCTTCATCACCGTTATCAATACTTTGGCTTTCTACGCACAGATTCTGGACAGGCAAGTTATGTAGCAAGACAACCGCTCCAAGGTATGCCTTTAAGGATGCATGTGCAGATATATATATATATATATATATATATATATATATATATATATATATA